GTATAAGTCTTGGAGTTCTGTCATGGATATCTTCTGTGTTTAGTAGGTGCTGTGACGGACTACCCTGTCTCTGGATTATAAGTACTATGTTTCACTCTCTTTTATGTCCGGGACATTGCATTTCCCTTCATTTTATTATTATTTCATTCACCCACCGAACAAACTCCCAAACAACCACCCGTATGCGGAGTGTACCACTCATTAACCTCTGTCACTGTCTTAACACTCCTAAACTGCAAACATTCTAAGCAGTCGGCTGGGTCTTTAATAATGAACACACAGAGCGGTCATCGAATGCATGGAACCCAAATCGGGCACTCAACGGTACTAACACCACTATAACTTCCCTTCCATTGAAGTTCGGTTAAACGTATGGGGATTGAAAGGCGTTCGGTGGGAGCAAGCTCCCGAACGAGAGACTGAGCGTACCCACGAACTGCTATGTTCCGTGTTTTGACTATATTGAGTATTCCCAAAAGAGGCCGACCGCATAGCCTGATTTCATGGAACTCTTTTGGGCAGGATGCCTCGTTTGTGGTCGGTCAAAATATGACCTCCATTTAAATCCCAAATCCCTGAATGATTTTTGGATATGTTGGTCACCCAGATTGGGGCCATCAGGGTATGTAACTTTTGTGGGGTTTCCATTGGTTTTGGGGGTACTTTCGGGGTACTGCTAAAATGTATGTTTTCTGTGCCTGGAGATAGTTGAGTTTAGTACAGTTTCTGACTCCATTATCTCTCAGGCACCTGGACCTGAGAGCCAATGTAATCATGTGTATGTTTTTACTGTCTACTCTGTCTACTCTTTTTACTGTCTACTCTCAGGTCTAGCGGGGAATGCCCCTGGAATATGTAACAGGAAATCCCTTGCATGGCGACTGACATAAAGGGCCGTGTGTGGCCCCATTAAAGCCAGTTGTCCACAACATAGAGCCTCGTCTAATGTTTGTGAAATAAAGCTATAACGGCTGTCTTCCTTCTGCTTGGAGTGCTAAATCACTAGCTCTTGTAAGAGCTGTTCCTGCTCTGTATTACAGCATCCCTCACACTAGGGGAAGAAGAACATCTCTGGTGGCAAAACCTCTCTTCCCCTCGGGGTGGCCGCCACAGGTGCCTTACTGTGCTCACTGAATCCTAAGTACCTGTTGCCACTAAGTATTGCTGCAGGTCTTTTGTAGTCATTTGAGGGTTTTTCACAATCTGGCTTCTCAGAAATCTGGTTGTAGCTATTGATAGCTTCCTTTTTCTGCCCCATGCAGGTAGTGTAACTTCTGTTCCTTCAAACTTGAACTTGCAAGCTATGCTTCCAACTGTGTCTCTAGGAACATTCAGTGCCTTCACTATCTTTTTGTATCCTGTTCCCTGTTTGTGAAGGTTGATGATCTCTTTTCTTAACTTGCCCTTAAATCAATTAACTTTTGGACCATTCTTTTGATTTATCCATATTTCTAACATGCAGTTAAATCTGATACTCAACAAACCCCTAGCCAGTTCAAGTATTTCAAGTGTTCCAACTCAAGCACACCTGGTACAATTAACGAAGCCCATGATTAGTTGCATAAGGTGTGCTTGAAACTGCACCTGTTTTGCATAATTATGCTGTTGTGACGGATTCTATTCAGGGAGTTGAATAATTTGGGTGTGTGGAAAAGTCAGTATAAGTTGCATTTTCAGTTGAATTTGAGGAAACCACCTGAAGCATTCATTGTTTTGAGCTATTTCAATTGCTTTTGCTTGAATTGTTCATTACAAACAGCTGAAAGTCTGTACATTTTGAAAATAAACCTGATTTTCAACGGGCGTTGAAAATTTTTGATTACAACTATAAATTTCCTGACGTGACAATATCACTAGCACAGGAGGCAATACAATCAATGAGTTAATTTAAAATAGATGTGTTATCCAATATTGACAGGTCTACTATCTAGAAAAGTGGGGAGCGGGCCAGGCAGCAATGGCAGTTTGCATGCCAATGGGCGAGCATGTAAACAGGGCCTGTCAAACCAGCATCCATGTGCAACAGGGTAACAGAATGCCTATTTTGCCTGCCATCAGAACTGTCCATATGATGAATATAACTGTAGCATTTGTACATTGGCTTAAATACACCTAATTTAATTACATATGCAGCACAAGCGTGGTTGAAGGGATACTAAAGGCAAAACAAAATTAACTTTCACTTAGATATGCTCCTGCTCTGTACATTAAACTTCACTTGAAGATTATGCTAGCTTTAGTGTACCTGTAATCTTAATTTTATTAATAACAGGAGGCGAGTATTTGCTGAAGTCTCTCTTTACTAGAACTCCACAGCAGCACAGAAAAAACAACCAATCAAAAAAAAGTTAGGTACTATAAAACTCCCCTCCCCATCCATCATTTCCTCTTTCAAGCTGCGACTAAACAGAACAAAAGGCAGAAAATATAATGGGGAAGAAACGAAGTCCTAGATACAATGAATACAACAATGTCCACCGTCTGAGAAGAACTGCCAAACCAGATGGACTGTAAACTGAAATGAGAGAAAAAACAGAATCGAAAAGGTTGGTTAGCCAATGAAATGTACTCTGAACAAAAAATGTAGGCACCCAGTGTAACAACCAGAAATATCATAATATACAGAGATCCCAACCCTTACTTTGGAAAACGGACTCAAGAACAAGAGACAGGTAGCAGAGACAACAAGCAGAGTTGCATACGTACCTGATGAACCCAAACTATAGTATAGACAAGGGAGGGATAAGAATGGGTGGGAAATACTCGCCTCCTGTCATTAATAAAATTAAGATTATAGGTACACTAAAGCTAGCATAATCTACAATTTTATAACATGACAGGAGGCTTTGTATTTGCTTTTTTAACGCTCAGGCAACAAAGCCAACACTGTTTGTTTCACTGGTACTTATTCCAGGAGATAACTAGATCAATCCCAAATGGACCTTCCAACTGCGAGAAGTGACAGTAGACGGATCGATGAAGATGCCAGCTGTCGATGTACCCAAAAATATGGAAAATACACCCTCCGCTGTGTGTGTCTGATGGTGCTTGGTATCTCAGGGTGCTGTGTGTGTCTGAAGGTACTGTGTGTGTCTGAGGGTGCTGTGTGTGTGAGGGTGCTGTGTGTGTCCGAGGATGCTGTGTGTGTCTGAGGGTGCTGTGTGTGTGAGGATGATGTTAGTGTGAGTGTGCTTTGTGTGTGTGAGGGTGCTGTTAGTGTGAGTGTTGTGTGTATATTTATGTGTGTGTGAGGGGGGGACAGATTTAAATATATTAAATATGTAATCGTTATCTGAGCGTTGCCGTGGTGACCGCGGCAGCGCTTTGACCTTGCAAGAGTAACCCGGCAGAGCTGCAGGTAAGAGCTTCACCAGGTCCTCCCTCCCTCCCCATCTTTGATCTCCCCACCAGCCCATGAAGGCACACAGCAGGGCCGGCACACAGATATTTGCAATTCTAATGCATGAAATGTGTAATTTTTAAAGTGACATCATAATTTTTTCTCCTAATACTATGGGTCTATCTAAATTTAATGAACAGACAAAAGTAAAGTATGCATCTAATATCAAACAGCACTGTTGATTCACTTCTTTCAGTAAAATGCATGTTGGTGAACATGTAGAAATCTACTGGAAAATAATTATAGTTTACTGTTTAAAACTAGGAAGTAACAGAACAGATGCATGTGATCATGCATAGTTTTAAGAAGTAATATTCGGATGTGGCTTATAATTGCAAAACTTCCCATTTCAGAAATGTTAGTCACAAATTATGATGTATGTTGTGTTGGTGTTTGATTGCTTGGATGTATGCACATACACATATACACTGTCACATACATACTTGCACAGATATACAGACACATACACACACACAGAGATACACACACCAACACATACACACACAAAAACAGAGATGCACACACTGACACATGCACACACCCTGACACACAGAGACACACACTGACACATATACACACAGATGCACACCCTGACACAGATGCACACAGACACACATACTGATACATGCATACACCCTGACTGATACACTAACATATACACACATTGACACACAGATGCACATACAGAGATGCACACTGACACAGAGGCACACACACTGACATGCACACACATCTAGACATAGATATACACACAATCTGACATTCATACACACATCCTTGGCATAATTTTTTTTATGTTTGCACCCTCTTGTCAGCTTACCTTTTTTGTACATGAGGGTGGCTTGCTTGGGGTCCTACTGGCTGATGCTCTGTTTGAAGCTGGAGACAAGCCGCGCTCTTAAAGGGCTATCACTTGACCGGGCCCTGTTCAGCGATATCCATCGGGTGGCTGCCTGCAACAACAGTAGTTCCGCCACTGTGCATGTTTGAAAACTGTAATACAAACAAGAGAGATTTTTAAAGATGACATATATTTCCTTTAGCTGATTTTATATAATCAAGAGGGGGGGTTGGATAGATCTTTTACGGCTATTCGAGGCCTTAAAAGACATACAGACGTAATCAAAATTATTTAATCCCTATTGAAAATCAGGTTTACAGACTTTCAGCTGTTTGCAATGAACAAATCAACCAAAATCAATTGAAATAGCTCAACACAATGAATGCTTCAAGTGGTAAACTCTAAATTCCCAGTCTCAAAATAATTTAACCCAAGCATCTTTGGTAGTGATGTCCCGAACGGTTCGCCGAACGGTTCGTGAACGGTTCGTCACGAACGGTTCGCCACGGACTCATCATTGAGTAAACTTTGACCCTGTACCTCACAGCAGTGTTTCCCAACCCAGTCCTCAAGGCACACCTACCAGTCCAGGATTTAGGGATTACCCAGTTGTGTCTAAGGTGTTTTTACAAAGAAGAAAAAAAACACCTTAGACACAACTGGGTAATCCCTAAATCCTGGACTGGTAGGTGTGCCTTGAGGACTGGGTTGGGAAACACTGCCTTGAGGACTAGGTTGGGAAACACTGCCTCACAGTCAGCAGACACATTCCAGCCAATCAGCAGCAGACCCTCTCTCCCAGACCCTCTCACCTCCTGGACAGCATCCATTTTACATTCTTAGAGAGCTGTCCAGGAGGTGGGAGGGTCTGGGAGAGAGGGTCTGCTGCTGATTGGCTGGAATGTGTCTGCTGACTGTGAGGTACAGGGTTAAAGTTTACTCAATGATGAGTCCGTGGCGAACCGTTCGCGAACCGTTTGGCGAACCGTTCGAGACATCACTAATCTTTGGTACTTAGTAGAGTCCAATGATGTCCAAGTTTCAGCTTTCTCACAGACGGCATGACGTTTTCTCACTGGATTTCCTGATAATTTAATAAATCCATTTTACCATCCACACGCTGCAGGTTACCAGTGCCAGCGGATGCAAAGCAGCCCCAGAGCATCACCAAGCTGCCACCATGCTTGACTTTAGGTAGAGTGTTCTCTTCAGCATATACTTCATTCTTTCTCCTCCAGACATACCGCTGATCCATTGGGCCAAAAAGTTCCTGTTTTGTTACATTGTTCCACCGAACAGAGTCCAAAAACTTCTGTGTCTTATTTATATGATTTTGAGCATATTAGAGTCAACTTTTTTTAAAACTTTTGGGTCAGTAGTGGTATAAGTCTTGGAGTTCTGTCATGGATATCTTCTGTGTTTAGTAGGTGCTGTGACGGACTACCCTGTCTCTGGATTATAAGTACTATGTTTCACTCTCTTTTATGTCCGGGACATTGCATTTCCCTTCATTTTATTATTATTTCATTCACCCACCGAACAAACTCCCAAACAACCATCCGTATGCAGTGTACCACTCATTAACCTCTGTCACTGTCTTAACACTCCTAAACTGCAAACATTCTAAGCAGTCGGCTGGGTCTTTAATAATGAACACACAGAGCGGTCATCGAATGCATGGAACCCAAATCGGGCACTCAACGGTACTAACACCACTATAACTTCCCTTCCATTGAAGTTCGGTTAAACGTATGGGGATTGAAAGGCGTTCGGTGGGAGCAAGCTCCCGAACGAGAGACTGAGCGTACCCACGAACTGCTATGTTCCGTGTTTTGACTATATTGAGTATTCCCAAAAGAGGCCGACCGCATAGCCTGATTTCATGGAACTCTTTTGGGCAGGATGCCTCGTTTGTGGTCGGTCAAAATATGACCTCCATTTAAATCCCAAATCCCTGAATGATTTTTGGATATGTTGGTCACCCAGATTGGGGCCATCAGGGTATGTAACTTTTGTGGGGTTTCCATTGGTTTTGGGGGTACTTTCGGGGTACTGCTAAAATGTATGTTTTCTGTGCCTGGAGATAGTTGAGTTTAGTACAGTTTCTGACTCCATTATCTCTCAGGCACCTGGACCTGAGAGCCAATGTAATCATGTGTATGTTTTTACTGTCTACTCTGTCTACTCTTTTTACTGTCTACTCTCAGGTCTAGCGGGGAATGCCCCTGGAATATGTAACAGGAAATCCCTTGCATGGCGACTGACATAAAGGGCCGTGTGTGGCCCCATTAAAGCCAGTTGTCCACAACATAGAGCCTCGTCTAATGTTTGTGAAATAAAGCTATAACGGCTGTCTTCCTTCTGCTTGGAGTGCTAAATCACTAGCTCTTGTAAGAGCTGTTCCTGCTCTGTATTACAGCATCCCTCACACTAGGGGAAGAAGAACATCTCTGGTGGCAAAACCTCTCTTCCCCTCGGGGTGGCCGCCACAGGTGCCTTACTGTGCTCACTGAATCCTAAGTACCTGTTGCCACTAAGTATTGCTGCAGGTCTTTTGTAGTCATTTGAGGGTTTTTCACAATCTGGCTTCTCAGAAATCTGGTTGTAGCTATTGATAGCTTCCTTTTTCTGCCCCATGCAGGTAGTGTAACTTCTGTTCCTTCAAACTTGAACTTGCAAGCTATGCTTCCAACTGTGTCTCTAGGAACATTCAGTGCCTTCACTATCTTTTTGTATCCTGTTCCCTGTTTGTGAAGGTTGATGATCTCTTTTCTTAACTTGCCCTTAAATCAATTAACTTTTGGACCATTCTTTTGATTTATCCATATTTCTAACATGCAGTTAAATCTGATACTCAACAAACCCCTAGCCAGTTCAAGTATTTCAAGTGTTCCAACTCAAGCACACCTGGTACAATTAACGAAGCCCATGATTAGTTGCATAAGGTGTGCTTGAAACTGCACCTGTTTTGCATAATTATGCTGTTGTGACGGATTCTATTCAGGGAGTTGAATAATTTGGGTGTGTGGAAAAGTCAGTATAAGTTGCATTTTCAGTTGAATTTGAGGAAACCACCTGAAGCATTCATTGTTTTGAGCTATTTCAATTGCTTTTGCTTGAATTGTTCATTACAAACAGCTGAAAGTCTGTACATTTTGAAAATAAACCTGATTTTCAACGGGCGTTGAAAATTTTTGATTACAACTATAAATTTCCTGACGTGACAATATCACTAGCACAGGAGGCAATACAATCAATGAGTTAATTTAAAATAGATGTGTTATCCAATATTGACAGGTCTACTATCTAGAAAAGTGGGGAGCGGGCCAGGCAGCAATGGCAGTTTGCATGCCAATGGGCGAGCATGTAAACAGGGCCTGTCAAACCAGCATCCATGTGCAACAGGGTAACAGAATGCCTATTTTGCCTGCCATCAGAACTGTCCATATGATGAATATAACTGTAGCATTTGTACATTGGCTTAAATACACCTAATTTAATTACATATGCAGCACAAGCGTGGTTGAAGGGATACTAAAGGCAAAACAAAATTAACTTTCACTTAGATATGCTCCTGCTCTGTACATTAAACTTCACTTGAAGATTATGCTAGCTTTAGTGTACCTGTAATCTTAATTTTATTAATAACAGGAGGCGAGTATTTGCTGAAGTCTCTCTTTACTAGAACTCCACAGCAGCACAGAAAAAACAACCAATCAAAAAAAAGTTAGGTACTATAAAACTCCCCTCCCCATCCATCATTTCCTCTTTCAAGCTGCGACTAAACAGAACAAAAGGCAGAAAATATAATGGGGAAGAAACGAAGTCCTAGATACAATGAATACAACAATGTCCACCGTCTGAGAAGAACTGCCAAACCAGATGGACTGTAAACTGAAATGAGAGAAAAAACAGAATCGAAAAGGTTGGTTAGCCAATGAAATGTACTCTGAACAAAAAATGTAGGCACCCAGTGTAACAACCAGAAATATCATAATATACAGAGATCCCAACCCTTACTTTGGAAAACGGACTCAAGAACAAGAGACAGGTAGCAGAGACAACAAGCAGAGTTGCATAAGTACCTGATGAACCCAAACTATAGTATAGACAAGGGAGGGATAAGAATGGGTGGGAAATACTCGCCTCCTGTCATTAATAAAATTAAGATTATAGGTACACTAAAGCTAGCATAATCTACAATTTTATAACATGACAGGAGGCTTTGTATTTGCTTTTTTAACGCTCAGGCAACAAAGCCAACACTGTTTGTTTCACTGGTACTTATTCCAGGAGATAACTAGATCAATCCCAAATGGACCTTCCAACTGCGAGAAGTGACAGTAGACGGATCGATGAAGATGCCAGCTGTCGATGTACCCAAAAATATGGAAAATACACCCTCCGCTGTTACATCCATTGTTCCTTGGGTTTTAACCTGTTTTCTAGCAGCCGCTCCATGAACTGCAAAGCTGACCTATAGCCATTTCCCCGTAGGTGTAAAATACCGAAGGTCCTCCGTGGATGTAGAATCATGAGAAAAACAGCCACTAGGTCTCGAGCCTTGATGTGGAAGATGGCCCCTCCGATTGTGTCAGGGTCACCAGGTGATGTGGCCTTGCAGGCAAATCTCCAACCTCAAGTAATGCGTCTACCACCAATTTCGCAACAGAACTGAGAAGGACCCTTTCGCTACCTCATGACCTACCCGGTGAGTGGTCTTACCCGATAATGAAATTATTATGCAAGCAAGAGTGCATTCAAAACTATCCGTATCCTAAGTGATTCCAGTACTCCAAATGGACTGTGTGACCCGCGACTGTGGTAGAGAAGGAACTCCCAAGGGACGTCTAATCAGGGCCCCAAACTGAACTTGTGTAGTGAAAGGTGGTCGACTACTCTGAGGGATTGTGAATCCTGGAAATATTCAAAAGGAGTGGAACGTAAACAGGGGTTGAGATTTCCATCCAGATATATAATTGTCGAGGAGTGAAAAATGGGCTGGATCCAATGATAATGGGGACCTGTCCAACCAAGAAGAATCCTCACGTACTGTAGTGAAAGAGTGAAATAATCCGATAACTACTTTAAAAATTCATGTAGGAGCTTATGGCCTGCCCGCCACCTACGAGATAGGGTATAATATATATAGTAATATAATA